GAAAACAAAATTACTAAAAATAAAGTTCTGGCTCCCCAGTGGGAGCCAGAAGTCCTCCCAGCCATGCAGCCTGTCCCAGGGAAGTGCAGAGGGAGGCTGCTGGCACAAAGGTGAGCAGGCAAGGTAATTGTCGCCTTTGCCCCTTGCTGCTGATTGGCTGAGAGGGCTGGCTGCCTGTTGTACAGCTCTTCCCCTCTCCAATCAGCAGTGAGGAGCACAGCTGCATAACATACAGCCCTAGAAGGGCAGGGCTACTGGGGCTCCTTGGCCAATGAGAGGTGTAGGGGGACCCTGGTCATGATAAGCCCTCAAAAATAGCAGCTGGCCCTGCGATATGCCTGCAACATTAGCAGGCTGCCTCCTTGATTTGTGTAGACCCCTATTCATATGTGCCCTACCCAGTATGCAGGACTCAGTGGCTTACCAGGCCTTGCTTGCCCATCTTTTCCTCCCTTCCTCTCTCTCTTATTTTCAAACCTCTGGTGAGGCAGAAGGTGGGACAGTGACCAAAAGGAGTTACTACCTTTTATTTTTCACCACCAATCCAGACATTTCATGGCTACTATTTTTCACCACCAATCCAGACATTTCATGGAAAAATCTGCACCAAATGCTAAGTTCTGATCAACGTTGTTGCCAAAGCTCACTTCAAATAGTTGATATTTGTAGCCTGCTGTGTACTGGATCATGTGTGTTCTATGCAAATAAATAGCATATGGATAATGCATACAAATAAAGGACTGATCTAAATTTGTACAACTAACCTTAATCCTGGGCTTTTGCTTTTTGGGGTTTTTTAACCTTTTTTTTTAGTTTCATATGGACAGTAGTGTAACTTGCATGGGGCAACTGGGGTAGCAGCTGTAGCCACTGACTTGGGCTTGGGGGTAGGGAAGGGATGTAAAAAACAGCTGCTGCAGCTGCATTGTCATCTTTGCAGCATGGTGACAGCTAGAAGTCACTGCTGCCTCTGTTTATTGCAGCTGCCTCAGGGGGTCAGCTGACTTCTTACGGGTCTGTCCACAGTGGCATAGATGAAGATGCAGCACCCTATGCAGCAAGAGCCACGAGGTCAAGACATCCAAGAGTGTAATGTGTGATTGTCAATACTTCACTGTAGATTTGAGAAAATTCTAGAAACATTTTTGCAACACTTTAATTGGGCAGGTAAAGGAATAAGCAAAGAACAGTACAAAGAGGTATAAGAAAGGGATTATCAGATATAATTTTACCCAACCAGTTCAATGCCTTAAGAGTATCCAAAGTAGTAGTTTTTTGTTTTGTTTTGTTTTGGGTCTCATTTACTCTTCTGACTCATCGTAGGGTATTTTTTTTCTTATTAGGTGTTTGGCGGTGGTCATGTGTGCAAGGGACAGGAGTGGTAGTTTGTTGCAATCATAAAGGACTGGATTCAGTAACCTAGGAGGTCCCTTCCAGTCCTACATTCCTGACAGATTGCATGCCAATTGGTGCACATATGACACAAAATGCTACACACAAAATAAAACTCCAAATTAGTTTAAATGCTCATTGACAAAGTAAGTATTGTGAAAATAATCCAGTACATTGTAAATACATTTTCTTGTTAGTTTAATGTTCACATTGTTGTGCTAATCAAATATGGGACCTCTAGTAACTGAATAACAGCATGCATTCTGAAATATGTATACTTTGCTTTAAATTACTGTTACCCAAATCATTAATTAGAAGAACAGAAAGATAACAGTACACTTTCTAGAAGGTTTATCTTCCCCATTTCTCTCGCAGTTAAACGTCCACCGGTGAGCCTCTGTGGAAGAAGGAGGCTTTTCAGTCTGCTCAGAAACATTTAATCCTACTATCATCATCTAATTAACAGGAATGGGAGTCTCCATGCTGCAGGCACAGACACTAACACAAGTCTGAGGAGCCACTGTGTAGACATCAATGAACATTTTATTAAATTACACAGTTTTCTAAGCAGACACAGTCTCTCAATGCCCCAATTCTTCATGCTTTAGTGAACTGTCTCTGCTCTCTGAAGCTGTAAGGTTTCAGTGTGAACTGAAGATATAAACTCTTGATGAGATTATGACAAGTTTTTAGATATTTGGCATGCTTCTCTGCTCCTTCTTTTTCTCTGATAAGGAGGATAGTTGGCTGGCAGGTGAAAGCATTAGAAGTACAGACTTGGAACCTTAAAATGTCATCTGTTCTCAAAGAAAAATATTTTTTTTACAGGGAGTATTGTTACTCATTATAATTCACTCTGGTCAGAGAATCCTCCTCTACCCTCCCACGCACCAGGGCAGGGGGAAAGAACATTAAGTCCCAACAACTGCAAGTCTCATCATCTCTCTCAATTGAGGTTTCTGGTAGTATTTAAAACATTTCATAAATCTTTTTGTTACCAGAAAATCAAAATGTATCTAGAAGTTTGGAACAAACCTTTTAGGCTCCAATATGCTTTAATGAAATAGAGTAAGAGGAAAATAAATGCAGTGGTACCAGTATTTCTACAATTTCTCTGGCACATTGTTTTCCCCCACAATTCAGCATTACAGTACATTTCCCATAATCCAATATCATAATTTGAATACCCTCATTGATTACAATTGTTCATACAGCGTGTGAACATCATGGCTGCTAACAATTTGGGAAACAGTGTTGGACGTTCGCATAACTATTCATTATACTATATTTTTTCTCCTGTACTTGCATTTTTTGTTTCTCAAATAAAATTTAGTTTGTAAAACAGAAATGCAAGCAAGCAGGTTCAGTAGCAGTCAGGCAGCATGCACAACATTGTTTATTTTGACATTTCATTGGCTGCAACATTAAAGTGACAATGGTTCATTAAAAATATTGAATTTATAAATTCCTACTAGCTTCTACAAACCTTCCTGAAATTTTGCATGCCATTTCTCATCACAGACCTGATAATCACAGTTCTGCTATCTTGTTTATAGTGTGTTGATCCTTTTCTTGGGATATTTGCTAAACAATTAGAAAAGCCATTTTAAAATTGTGATGGTGTTTCCACCCTGTCCCCCAACCTTTTCTTTTCCTTAAAGCAATGACATCAACTGCCTATCTCTTTTTTGCTCTCTTTTTTTTTCATTATTTCTTTAGACATATTTTTTTTTTTGTGGGAGGGAAGAAACTAGTGTATGTATATTAATCATAGTTTTAAAAAAAGATAGACATTTATGGCTTCCAAGATAGCAAAATTTAAACCATCAGTATTGTAAACACTCACCTACAAGCTTTAACAAGGCATAATAACAAGTTGTGTGTCTTAGGGAGAACCCTTCCAGAGAGTGGGCAGGGGGAGGTGCTGAACACCAGAAAGAGAGGGTGGGGAGAGAGTCTTACCTGCCCTGAGGACTCAAATACCCTGATCTCTGCCATCGCTTTGCTGTATGTCTATCTTAGCTGCTGCTGTTAGAGTGGCATGGTATCCCCACATCAGGCTGCTGCTCCTATTTTCTCTGTTGTGGCACTGATCCTTTGGGGGCTGCCATTCCACTACCCACTGTAAGTTGGCACCCAGGGCTGATGTCTTGTTTGCCTACCTGTAGTTATGCTACTGAAACATAGGGAAGAATTCTGTTTCACTTAGGTGGACAACTGAAGTACAGCTTGTGACTAACTGAGTTAACTAAAGTTTAGAAGGGATTGTATTATCCTCTTTGAGTTTGCAGATTCCCGCCCATTATAGGAATAGGGAGATATCTTTATGATGCTATTTCTATAATGAGGGCACTTAGCAGAGTGGCTAACAGAACCACTCCTACACTTTAGTCAGGTAATTCAGAGTTGGTCTGAAACTGCACTATGGTTGTTGACTAGGTGAAATAGAGGGACACTATGGGCAAATTCTCTTTTAAGGTTTTGTTGCTGTGATAGGTTCTAGGATAAGCCAGAAGAAATGAGGCAAAGAGAGGGGCAGAAAAACTTGGAAGAGAAATACTTTAGGAGTGTGAATTACTTTAGGAAGGGGATCTGAGGGAAAGACCATGAAAGAATAGCATGGAACTGGGAAAGGCAGAAAAACAACTGTGGGAAATGATGGCTAGAGGAAGGACTTCATAAAATATTATTCTGAGGGCTTCAGGATGAGTCAGAGAGGAAGATGGAGGGAGGTTAGAAAGAAACAGCATTTGTGAGAGAACTGAAGAAAGCAAAAAAGTAGATCATGGAAAGGTGGAATGTACTGGGAGAAAATAGACTGAAGAAAAGTAGAGAGGTTTTGGAATAAATGGCTGAACAGTACTAGAAGTATATAAAAGGGCAAACGTAGGAGTTGGGAAATCCAAGTGTGGTTGACAGCAGCCAGAGGGGATGGGAAGGGAATGAATGGCAGCCAGGATGCAAACAATGTACAGAATTATTGTGAAATCCCTACTTATTGTAAAAGGACCCATTTCCAGTCAGTGAAGTATTGTGGGTCTCCAGTGTCCGGGGGCCAATGCTTGCGCTTGCACCCCCGCTCTCCCATCCTTCTCATAGAAGTACTTAAAGTCACGTCGCATGATTAAAAACTCTGAAGCGTCCAGTCAGCACCCCCCTCCCCCTTCCCCTTCCACCACTGTTTCCAGTATTTGCTTACCAATTTCTTGTTCTGAATGCATCACAAATTTTTGCAAAGATAAGGTAGCATCATAGTGAATGATAGAAGATTATGATTATGAAGGACAGACTGGATCCATTGATTGTCCATTTAATATGTGTTTGATATATTTATGTGAAATTTTAGAATTTTTGCTATGTGATGCACAATTTTTGCTATTTGATGCACCCTAGCCTTTCAGAAACCTTTGATACATTCTTCTGGTGGTCATCCAGACCTTGGCATGCTCTTTTGCCCCCAAAACA